AAGAGTGGAAATGTACGAGCGTTATTTGTCTTAAGTGATTTATCATCAATCATATTTGCTCTTTTTGTTTCTGTTATGTATAATTGTATATTGTTTAATGTCAAGTTCCCCTTTTTCTGTTTTATGGCAAAAGAAGCTTTGTGAGATTAAAATTGGCTAAATATCTATGGAACTATGTTATACAATAGGATACAATTTGGCTGAATGTTTACGGAGAATTCATGAACTTGATCCATGAATGAGAGCAACAATATGTTTATGTGAAACCTTTCCTGCATTTTTAGATGGCGTTATCCGTCCAAATTGTTCTGATAGTTGGTCTTAATATTCAATGGATGAAAGAAAATCTTGGGCTGTTGGTCCGATGACATGGCTTAGCAAGCAGAGTTTGTGTTAGTGCTGTGTATTCCGGAAAATGTCAATGCAATTTTTGGAAGCGTGGACCAGATTTCTTCTGTTGCTTCTCTTGCAGTGCTACAAACTTTTTCTTTGGTTTTCAAGCTTTTCCTTGCAACAATGAGGATGTTAATGTACGACATCTGTTGGACTTTCATTTATGTTCTTGAGATGACAAATTTTTTTTTTTTTTAACCATTCATTCTCATAATAAAGAGAATATTTCATCATTGATAAAGATCTTTCTGCTAGCAACTCTTGATCGGTGTCATCCATGGTTTTTTCTCTTTTTTTTTTTTTTTTTTTTTTTTTTTTCTTTCCTTTTTGGGTTGGTTTTCCGGGGGAAATAGGTTGGCTTTCCAGGGGAAAACGTTTTTGTTCATTCGTTGGACAAAAAAGTAAAATAATAGAAAACTTAAGGCTCCTTCTTTTAGAGTTTAACTTGAGTATAATTCTTGAGTTAAATTTGAGTTATAACTTGAGTTGAACTTGTAATTTGAGTTTGTATTTAGTTGTGTACATTTTAATTATAGTTTTAAAATTTTTTTGAGTTTGTGTTTGAATGAGTCAAAACTTGAATTTGTATTTAGATAGTATTTTAATAAAAACTCAATGCTGATGAAAAATTTTAATAGGGTATATGGATCGGGTTTTATTCGTCTTTTCGTTGTCAACGCATAGAAAAAAAAATCATCTCAATCAGAATTAAAACGAAAAAGTTATAGCATTTTTAAGAATAGAAAAAATACTGTTCATTAATTTGAGTTCGAGTTTCTGAACTCGAGTTGAAGGGGAAACTTGAACTCGAGATTTAGGCCTCGTTCATTTCATCGATTTGAGTTTTCAGTTTTAAGTTTCTACAATAAAAAGTTCTCAAAAAATATCACATTTAACTTTTTCTGTTACAGTGAAAAGCTCTCAGAAAATGTCACTATCTCAGCTCGAATTGAAAACTCAAATCCGCAAAGTGAACGAGGTCTTAGTTCTAAACTCAAACTCGAGTTTAAACTTAAAAAAACATGAATTCGAATAAAGTTGTAACTCGAGTTGTATTTCTTTTGAGTTACAAGCCCTTAGATACTTGAACCCATAAAATATATTTCCCTCTGTATTCAAAGCTTTGCTATGACTATCGACCTTATTACACAGTGGATACATAAAAATGTGTAGGGGCAAAAAGAGTTTACACAAGATTGTACATGACAAACTTTCAGCCAAAAAGGGAGTGAGAAAACAATGGATTGCTAATGTGAAGACCAAAACTTAAGGACAATGAAAGCCTTTCATCTATGTTCAGTTTTGGGTCAATACATGAAATCAGAGGAGAGCACCTGAGAGAACGGAGACAACATTGACAATATCTCAGCAGATGTAACATGGAGGTTTCATTTTTGGCTTTCTTATTTGATTGGAGAAAACTGACCAGTTATGCTATAACCGTGCAGAAAACATAACTTCCAGCTTGATTCTGATAAAACTTTCTTGGCCGGATTAGGTCACATCCTTTTTACATGATCAGTACCATCTTCTTCTTAACCACGATTGCGACAAGAGAATTGATGCTAGCCACAGCAATCATTTGTTAACTGAAATAAAGGGATCGATGATAAGTGCACTTTCAACATGACAAAACCTAATAATAGAACTGCTATTTTCTGCACCATAATCTTTCCCCTTATACAACGATCATTCCGTTGAGAATTTTTTCTTCTTCTTTTTCTTTTTCTTATTCAACTACACTACAACCTGGACTTTTTTAGTTTGGAAGAACAAGAGTTAATGGAATTCCGAGAAAAGGAGGAATTCTGAAAAATCAACATGAAAAGAACTATGTTAAGATTATAATTTACACTTTACAGACAAGCAGCAACAGAAGAAAGAAAAGAGGAGACGAAAACACAAGGATAGCGTGAAGGTGTAATTAACAATAGGACGGTCAAGTACAATGTTAATTTTATGAAAGCACGAACAAATTGAGAACAGAACAGAAACAGGATTCTTAGTCAGGTTTATTCTTCAATGCAGAGTAGTAAAAAGACAAACATATGGTGAACAGTTCAAACCAGATGCAAAATAATGATAACAAATAAAATAATTAATCATCGGATGTATGCTTTGATATGCAAGCATGTGAGATAATATTACTATAATTTGTCAAGGCTTACCAGCAAGCAAAGCCAAGAGGAATGATGAATAACGAGTCTCAGGCAAGTGTTTCAAACTGTACTTGGTAGAATAATGTGCGTTCATATAAGCTGCCAAAGCATCGGTGAAAATTCGTATTTTGCATCTTCATCTTTGCCTAGGTCAGCCAAAACCAACACTAAGTTTTAAATTTTAATTAACAATTTTATGGCTTTTATCCTCCAACATAAGCAGTCATTCCACTGTTTGGAAGAAGGCCATCCTTAGCCATTTCTGAAAGCACACTGAAAACTGCATCCATATTTCCTTCTTTATGATTGATTTCAACAAGTACTTTTGCAAGCTCGGCATCAGTAAGCCGACAGCTTCTCAATGTGTTGCGTATGACATGACTCAGTTCATCATTCATTCCTTCTGTGAAAAGGGCTTTAATCAGTGCTATTACAGTTACTGTATGAGGAACAAAACCAAATTTCATCATTTCCTCGTATAGATAGTATGCCTTTCGAACGTTGCCAGCCCGACAATGACCATGTATAATTACATTGTAAACCGACTCATCAGGCTCATAGTTCCTTTTAAGCATTGTCTCAAAAACCTGATCAGCATTTTTCATCAAACCCTTCATACAGAATCCCTTTACAAGAGCTACCACACTTTTAAATTCTATACTGCAGCAGTTCTCTATCAAAGTATTATATGTGATGTCAGTCGGAACAGACTCATCATAGAACAACTTAAGTAAAAGCCTTTTCGCTTCCTTCGTCCGAGCTTGTTTGTTAAGTCCATTAATGAGCACGCTGTAGGTAACAACGTCAGGTAGAAAACCTCTCTGTATCATTTCATCGTGTAATTGAAGGGCTCTATTCAGATCCCCTTCAACACAATAAGCGTTGATCAAGGTTGTGTAAGCAACTTCATCAGGAGGCAGGCCCTTACCAATCATCTCCTGGAAGAGATTGCAAGCTTCATCAAGCCTCCTTTGCTGGCAAAGACCCTGAATAAGTGATGAATAAGTGACAGAATCAGGAGATACACCCTTCTGAATCATCTCCAATTTCATTTGAAATGCCTTCTCCAATTCCTGATGCCTGCAAAACCCAGAAATAATAGTACTATAACTCACCACATCTGGGGTCAACCCCTTCTCCACCATATCTTGCACAATTCCCATGGCCTCTTCCATCTTTCCCAAGTTGCAGTGACCATTAATAAGGGAATTATAAGTAACGATTGAGGGTGAGAATCCGACCGAAGTCATCTCATTCAGAAACCTGTAAGCCTCCCGTAATAAACCTTGCTGGGAGAATCCGTCAATCAATGTCGTATACGTTCTCTCATTCGGACGGAGACCCCTAACAAGCATCTGATCGAAAAACTCCACTGCTCGGTTTAAATTCCTAGCCTTACACATACTACTGATCAAGGCCGTATAAGTAACGACATTTGGAGACAATCCATTCCGGACCATCTCGACGTGCAAAACAAGCGCTTGGTGAAAATTATCATCCTTACAATACCCACTAATAAGCGTATTATAAGTAATCTCATCAGGAACAAATCCCTTCCTCTTCATCTCCTCGAGAATATAACCCGTCTCCTTCATCCTCCCTTCTTTACACAATCCATTGATCACCACATTGTATGAAATCAAATTTGGCTCCAAACCCTTCAACGCCATTGACCGCAACATATTAAATGCATCCTCGATCCTCCTCAACTGACAATACGCATAAATCAACGTGTTATATGTAACAACATTCGGCAAACACCCGTTCCTCTCCATTTCCCCAAAAAAACACAAACCCATCTCCAGATTCCCGGCCCCACAGAAACCCCTAATCAGAATGTTGTAAGTAAACACATTCGGGGAAACCCCACTCCTAGTCATTTCATCGAACACCTCCTGTGCAAACTTGACCGACCCTTTCGACCTAACTACGGATTCTAAAATAGCATTATACGACAACACACCAGGCATGTAACCACGGAATTTCGCCAAATTAACAATGTTGAGAGCCTTACTTGTGAGATTCAGGTGAGAGTACGACTTCACGACCAAGTCGAAAACCGCCGAGCTGGAGCCGCAGAGATGGAAGGTTTTGCTGAGGCATTCAAAGACCAAATTGCCCTCGTCATCGGGGGTATTTACGGCGACGTCGACGGCGAGGGATTGGGCGGTTTTATAGAGCTTGAAGCGGGTGAGGATGTGGAGGGCGAGGCACTTGCAGCGGAAGTTGAAGAAATGGCGGGTCCGGGCCCAGTCAACGAATTTGGGGATTAGGGTTTTGTCGGACTTGAGGAGTAAATAGGAGGCGGTTTCGGGCGTAAAATCGGGAGAGAGAGAGTCGAGAAGGTGAGGGTGGCGTCGGAGATATACGGCGGCTTTGTACGCTAGCTGAACGTCAGGGAGACGCCGGCGAAGTGGGGCATTCCGGAGATTTTTCGGATTGGGCAGGGGCATTTCGGGAATTGTGTCTCGGGTCACTGGTACGCTGGTGCTGGTTTCATCAGTTATAGAAACGAGAAGGAACGAAGACGACGATTAACGTTTTGCGACTAAAAAAAATTGTCAAAGTTAAAAGGGGTAATAGTTAAAAAACAATAGTCTCGTTAGGTATGTGAGTTTGAATTTTATTAGTTTAAATTTTTTAATTTGAATTAAAAAATTTAAATTGTGTGATTTAAATTGTAATTTGAATAAAAATTTAGATGTGTAGTTAGAATTTTAATTTAAATATAAAATAAAATTATATTTGGTGGGTATAAAAAGCAAATAGAGTGGGTATTTTTACTGTTTAAAATGATTTAAACAGGTAAACTTAAAGGAGAATTAAACTTTAAATTTGGTTGTTTAACTCAATTTAAACGGAGAATATAATTTAAAATGTATGTTTATCAAGTTTAAACCGAATTAAATTAAGAAAATAAACATGGCTGCATCAACGTGGAAGGCGGTAACAATATGAAAAACGACATCTAATGGATAAACGACAACAACCAAAAACGGCACCCATTAGGAAAAAGACATCAATAGAAATGAGTCCCTTATGTATTAAATTTTCCAATGAATCTTTTTGTCCATTAAGCTATTAAAATCTTAAAAAAAAAAAAAAACAAAAAGTGTGCGTCATGTGCAGTTTAGTTAAAGTTAATTTTGTAAGATTGTTCATGGCCCGTTTGAAGAGAAAAACAACAATCAAACCAAAAATAATAATCTACTTCTGATCGATTCCGGCGGTTTGAAATTTTTAAGAAATCAAATCGAACAAAATCATGTATAATCGGCTCGGTCAATTTGATTTGGTCTAGACATAATTGAACGAAATCTTGAAATAAGTGATTTGGGTTTGGTTAAATTTCTAGAGTTTTTGATAACTTGAGTTTTTATCTTGAAATTTTGGAATAGATTTTGGGAACTTTAAAGGACGTTTGGTTTATGTATTTAAAATTATTCTCATTTTACGTATATTTTTTTTAAGAGAAAATACTGTAGACAATCATGAATCATGATTCAGACTTAAAGACGAATATAAAAAACAAACGTCCCCTAGAGATCCCAAAATTTCACAATTTATCTGTTTTTAGTTTTGATTTTATCTTTCTACATGTACACACTTTGATATTAAAGATATAGCAATGAAGCACGTCTTTATGAGTTTTTATCCATAGAAAACTGACATATAAAAATCTAAACTCATGTATTATAAAGAATATTTATCTCATTTTCCCTGCATGTAAGAGAGAAATACTGACTAATTTTAAAAGTGCATAGTTTACCTCTTATTATAGTTATTTAACTAAGAATAAAAAATAAAAACCTAAACTCTTGCGCTATAATAGAGTATTTGTCACCTTAGCCGTTCAACAATTATTTTCACATGAAATATCTCGTAATATTTGTCTTTCCGTTCCACCAAACCAATAATAATAATGGTACTAAGTACTAACAATCACTGGACATCTATCTTCTTCATGCCAGAAAGCAATTAATATGATAGACTTAGAAAACTAGATAAAAACATTGGAGACAGCACGAGTGGAACATTTGTAGAAGAATATATTATAGAATATAACCCCATTCGGGCAAAAACTGGCTCTACAACTTTACACTGGAAAACGTAAAAAGAGCTTTCATTGCTTTAATAAAATCAACCAAAGGACCAAGCCTGCTGTTTTGGAGGATTGATCAAAGCCCTCTAACAGAATCAGGGTGTGGGTGAAGGATCATTTTCCTTTGCCAAAATGGGTTTTAGTGGCACATACTAACCGCACCTTCCAACCTCCGAAAACCAATCGATTGGTGCAGCATCTCAATCAAACATCTAGCACATATCATTTGGCTAATAAGCATATAGCAAACTCAGCACTTTTGTCTTTAAGCTCTTGATCTCGTTTCTCATTGTGCCTTCACAAAAGTTCGGCTGGACACACCATGCAACAACTTGACAAATCCGAGGAAGCTTAGCTTCCCATCTGTGTGCCTTATCCAGTCGTGGAGAACCACGTGAAGTGGGATTGAAGGGCCAAGCCCAAGTTCCTAAAGAACATTTTAAATATATATATGGGAATGATCAGTCCAGTTTGTTTCAAATTGAACCAAGCAAATATAGGTATGGGAATGGTCAGTCCAGTTTGTTTCACATTGAACCAAGCTCCAAGGAAAAAAAAAATAACAAACAAATCTGTCCGGAAACAGAGTAAAGCAAAATCAAGTTAAACTTTTTAATGATATTGGTAGGCAACTCATAAGAGAGCTCAGTTTGTTTCCAGTAATGATTATCTACTTCTGACTGTTCTATTCAGTGGTGTCACGAGCAAAATGATAGGACTTTAAGATAACAGATACAAGCTAATGGAATATCAGAAATCCCAGATTCTGAAGTAACAATTCAAATTCAATTCTGACTACTATGATCGAAGGACTAGAAGAAAATGTTCCACTGTAAGAATATCAACTTACCGAGGCAAGTTCTTCGATGACAATAGCCCGGTTACCATCCTTCTCAAAAAGTTCATACGCACATCGGGCATGCTGCTCCCACCGATCAAGTGCCTCCAGCTGATGGACGCCTAAAGCAGCTGCACAAAACTCTTCAAAATCCATTCTTCTGTATTGCAGTGCACTTAACTGTCATGGAAGAACAAGTAAACAATACAAAACTGCATACGCGACAAGAAGATGATCATAACAAGAGCGTGAACAAATATGCAGAAACTAAATAAAATGGTTTGAAATTTTTTTGAAAAAATCAACCCCAAACTCTTAAATTGTTAGCAAAATGACCAAAAACGTTGACTTCTGTTAGAATTTTAAGAGAATAGATCACGTGCATCATGCATGTTCCAAACTAACGATGAAATCTCTAAAATAAACTCCATTCCTTAAAGAACGTAATCAACTTCAAGCACTTCCCCTACCTCGACCCAAGATCTGAAGGTTTTGTTACAGGTTTTCTTGTTTATTCTCTGGGTTGGTTTAGGTTTTTGGTGTGTTTTCTTGTTGGATTTGTCTTTTGTCTCATGGGTTGCTGATTGGTATTTGTAAAATTGTTAAATGACATCAAATAACAAAACATTTAGCCTCTTAATTTTGGACGTAATTTGGAGAAAAAATTGCTTGTTCAAGATAAAACTTATTTACTTGGGGCTTAATCTTTTTGTAGGTCAGATACTTGTATTTTTGTTTAAAGAAAAAAAAAAGTTAATTTGCGGTCAACTTGTCATCATTGAGAAATTTGGTTATTCTTGAAGTCTTCTCAAGTGAAATGTGCACAATAAACTGTTTCTATTGTCTGTGGAAGAAAGAAGCAAAATGGCTTTTGGAGAAATATTAGTCAGTTTGGATTTTTCAAGCATAATGTTGTTTCACCAATTTGCACTGCAGAAGAAGCACATGTGAAGCACGTGTGGTGAAAAGTGATGTCACAAAAAATGACGTCATTTTGAACCTTTTGCCAACAACTTCAGAGTTCGTGGGTGATTTTTCCATTAAAAGTTTTGGGACCATTTGTGCTAAAAGCCCTTAAAAAAATGGGCATGAACATCAACAAATAAATCAAATTCGGCGTTGGGTAAATACCGATGCAATAAAATCAGGGATGCGAGATTCCTTCATTGCATCTGTTGCACTTTTCATCAGGGTCTGGTAGAAGAGAAAATGAGAAATTCAAACAAAAAGGGCACATTCCAGGTTCGAACAGCAATTAACCTATTAAGATGAAGAGATAGAAGAAGCAAACCATCTTAATATTGTCCAACGAAATGGTGCCATTTTTGTTCGGCTCCAAGAGAGCAAATTGCTCCTTCAGATAAAAGAGTTCGTCCACAGTCAGTGTCCTGGATAAGGCCTGAAAGGAATACCAACATAAAAAAGGAGGTGTTGAAACGTAATAGAAGATTTGAAACACATTTTTAGACTTAAAATGTGAAACATTTTTTCTTGGACTAGGTAAGGGCATTGAAGCAGAACTCAATAATATGATATTAAATTTAATCCAGGCAAAAAAAGAAGAAAAAAAAACAATACAATACAATTTATACAAAAGTAACCCCGGCACAAAATAAATAACAATACAGTATTAAAATTTAAGCTCGACAGTCGATAAACAAAAATTCTATTTACATTGTTAGTTTTAGCATCCAAACTCCAAAGAAAATAATTTGGATACTTCAAAAGTGGGGAGGATTGTTAGGTGTTTTAGGGATCAGGTATCACGTCTCATAAGGATTAAAGACGTGCAACAAATAGTGGATGATGCACTAATAGTCCTTGAAAGATCCAACACAAGTCTTCAAATGTTTCGTATTCAAATTAAAATGCATGACCTTACTAGAAGAAAATTGTAAGAAAATAATAATAATCTACCAGCCTTTTGTCATCTATAGAATATTATTAAGTGCAGAAAATATGAAATGTAATAAAAAGAAAACCACAAAAAAAAAAAGAGTCATCTGGATTAACACAAAAGTCTCTCCGAAACTAACAAAAATCATTTGGATTAACATTCAAAGTCTTCAGGATAAAAAACTTCATTCAGTGTTTCAGCAAGGGGGGAACTTGAGAAAATAAAGTCAGTTTCACTAGACCAAAAAAAAAAAAAAAAAAAACACACACACACACACAAAACTCACCTTTAGAGCAGCCTTGCGCAAGGATGATGACCGCAGATAAGCTTTCATGAGCCTAAGAATTAGAATATCAAGCGGCACTTTAACATCATTGTAGTTCCTGATCCAAGGATGGCCTGATAATTAAAGATTATTGCCAGTAAGATAATGATAGGGAAAACAGAAAAACAACCAATATTTCAGCAAATGCTAACTCACTTAGAGCCTGAGCAGCTGTCATTCGTTTACGTGGGTCCTTATTCAGTAGGCGCTTGACAAAGTCCTTTGCTTCTAAAGATAACGAAGGCCAAGGTTGTTCATCAAAACTTGGACCAGCTTTCAAGACTGCTCGGAAAATCCCAGATTCGGTCCGGGCCCAAAAAGGACGACTACCACATAATAGAATATACGCTATTACACCCACACTCCACACATCAGCCTCTGTACTATAAGCCCTATGTAGAACTTCAGGGGCCACGTAATATGCACTTCCCACAATATCATTTAACTTTTCATCTGTCAGCCACTGCATGTGTTACAAGCTGATGCAAACTCCAAAGATTGAGGGATTGACAATGGGGAGAAAACTTATGGGTCTTAGTAGAAAGGACAAACCTGGTTTTACAAAATCTGATAAGCCAAAGTCAATGGCTTTCAACATGGAATTCTCATCCTTTGTAGTATATAGAAAATTCTGATTCAAAGAATAGATAACTTTAGTTTAATGTGTTGAAACATGAGCCATCATCTGAACCAAATAAAAAGTTTCCAGAATACCAATTAGAGCTCTCCTATATGTTTGTGTGTGTGTGTGTGTGTGTGTGTGTGTGTGTGTGTACAGTGTGGGGCATATGGCTCCCACTTTACTAATTAGAAATGAAACCACTGGGATTCTTACCATGGTGGACACACACACACTCGCGCACCAGTCCTATTGAGCTAGCCTTAAGTGGCCGAGAACCACTGATTTGAACATATGGTTTAAACAATTGAAAATTTGCTTCAATTCAACTGAAAAGTTTATGCAGCTTCCTAGGCCAGACTAAATATTATAAATTTATAATTCTTGGCTTTGGGAACTTTCTCTAGTTACATTGTCACTTGGAATAAATTATAACTAATTTTGAATCCATAACTCATAATGGAAACCAACTATAAGTTCGATTATTGAGAATGACAAAAAAATACTGTTATTTTACTTCACATTCTTTCAGGCACATTGACATTTGGCCACTAAAGTTCAAGACCTCGGAGAGATTTTCAGTTATGTTACCATGCCGGCATGCACCCAGCTCATTGTAACATTACAGCCCGCATATAACAGCCTATGCACGTAAAAAGGAATCAGGAATGTAAAGGAAATATGTTTCACCTCTGGTTTAAGATCACGATGCACCACACCCTGAAGATGACAAAATGCAACAACTTTTAGTATTTGTGCCATGACTGCCTTTGCATCATCTTCTGTGTACTTACCACCCCTAGAGATGTATTACATATTTAGTTAGTGGCTGCAATTATGCACCTAGTAATTGCCACTGAATATTTACAAGAAAATCTTACTACATCTATATTGGTATAGTTAAGAATCACCTTGAAAGTATTCTATCTAGAAGTTCGCCTCCTTCACACAACCTGAAAAGTCCACAATACATTGTCGGACAACATCTAGTCAGAGATATGAAATAATAACCAAGAAGAAATACTGTACAGGGCAGCTGAAATCGTGCCTAAACTTAATCAACAACTATAGGAAGCAAACTCCAATGAAGCACCAAAAAAATACACTGACTTCTAGCTCCAGCAATCAACATTTACAATTGTTATGTAGTTCAACAGTTGATTCAGAGAAAATACAAATTTAGTTTCCAAGCTTACTCCATTACTATGTAGACATTATCACTGTCTTCAAACGCTTCATAGAATTGCACTAGATTGCTATGTCCTGTCAAAGCTCGCAGTATCTTTACCTCCCTTCTAACATCCTCAATTGCTATAGCAGTGGTCATCTGAGGAAAAAAAAAACAAGAAAAAGGAAAAGAAAACATCACAACTAGAACTAGAAGTAATTTATGAATGACAAGAGCTACACTTCACTTCACTTTCCCTTTTAATTTTATATACTAACTACATTTGTTTATAAAATTAAACCTTCAAGATGCCAAAAAAGAACAAAAATAAAAGACAGGCACAGGAAGAAACTAAAAATAAAAGGACAGATTTGTGCAACCACACACACAATCAACATTTGCTCATCCATTATCCAATTCATGAAACTTGTAAACCTCTATTCAAAGGAAAGCTAGGTTTCAAATAATAATAATAAGAGGAAAGTGTTAGTTGGACTTATAACACCACCATAAAGAGGGAAAAGAAGGACAAACGCATAATAATAATAAGGAAAGTGTTAGTTGGACTTATAACACCACCATAAAGGGGGAAAAAAGGACAGACACATGCTTATCTTGTAAGGAACACACGTTGGAATGACAAAATAATTTGTTTCTTGAAAAAAAGAAAAATGAATTTGTACTATTACTACTAGTACTACAAAACATAAGATGCCTTGTTGTATGATTTTGAACCTCAACGTCTTTTCATCCCTTTTTTTCCCCTTTAAATAGAGAGGTCAGTAAGTGCCCTCTGGCTCCCGATATGAAGTAGTAATCATTCTAGAAAGCTGGGCATTGGAAGGGTATAAGGTAAAAACTATTCCAAATTGGGGGTTGCATGGGGAGTGTAAGCTGGATCTTTAGCCAACAAATCCTTTTCTTCTTCCTCTTCTTCTTCTTTGTTAGAATATAAAACTATTAATGGCCCTACCGAGACAGAATTTGTAACTTGCTATCCTCTTGCCTAGCGGGCAAAGATTTACCTCCGTGGAAAGGATGATTCATTCGGATCGACATGAGAGTCCAACTACATTGCCAGAATCCATGTTGTATATTTGAAAAAGGTTGACCCCCTTGCTTCTCTCATGTTACAATCCTCTTCCCGCAGAGCCCCCTTTCTCCTCGGTCCACAGAGACAAAATGTAGGACTAGTGCCAACAGTTCATCACGGAAGAAAGGACTCACTGAGCCGAGATGACTAACTCCTAACAACTTATGCTTTTGGGAGATTTGGTAAACTAACATGATAGTAGAGTTGGAGATCCTGAATGCAAACTCGTGTAATTGCACTCTTTATTATCTTTAAAATTGTTAGCATGCATTGGACCTTTAATATGTTTCGGGTTTCTTCTTGAGTTGGGCTTTCCAATTAATATTTACTCACATGTTTGTCTATTTGTCTGCCAAAACATGAGGGGGAATCTTAGAATATAAAACTATTGTTGACTCATCTCAGCATAAGCTTTTGGGAGAATTGGTAAACTAACATTCTTCTTTCAATTTGCCATTACCCGAGCATATAAGGTTCTCATCCTCTACTTGACTTGAGTAGTCTTGGAAGACTCTTCAGCACACATTCTCCAATTGTGGTCAATCTATCATGTTCGGTGTTCCATGTAAATCCCAGCACAAAAGGTAGCAAGATCAAATAGGTATATAATGTTTTGTCGTTTTGAAGAAGGTTCATCGATGAGGGCCCTGGTTGATAACCATGCGTCTAATCCAGATTTGAAATGTGACTGACCTACAAGCTTTGGCCTAATTGGCATGGCCGTAAGTGCAGGCTGGTCCTGCCCTTTACTTTACTGACTGGCCTTGCATACGACACAGATCAATCATAGGGCCCCCATCAAGACCAGGACCCCCTATTGGGACTGTGATTCTTCTCAATGATTAGGTCCACTAATAATAAACCGGTGGACTATCTGCTTTCTTGATTCTGTAGTTGGAACCATCACATCTTCTACTTTGACAAATTGTTCTAAAGATAACCTTTAAAAAAAAAGTAAATAAAAAATAAGTATGATAACAATTCACCCTTTAAGCCTTTAAATTCCAAACCACATAAAGTTGATTATGCAAATTGCGTTTGGTTCACCATAATTAGATTTAAAAAAAGAAAAACGCAAATAGTTGTTCCAACAACAGCAACAAATCATTCTGGTGGGGCTGGCAGAGTATGAGATGAGTTCCAATCGTTGACCAAAAAAAGCAATAAACAAACAAGTAGGTCACTTTATACGCCTCCTCACACAAACAGTTCCAACAGATAACGTACGTCTCAAGACTATGCTTAATATTCTCCATCTAGAAGAACACCCAAATGAGTAGCTTATAAAACTTACCAAAAGATCAACTTAGATCTTCCTCGTCCTGTTTTAAACTTTAGTCTTAAAGGGCAAGTCCACTTAATTGAACGTAACACAAACCCACATTACAAAAGAGATAAATAAAGGAGAAAAAATAATAATAATAATAATAATAATAGCAAATAGCAATAAGACTAATAATAACTTAATAGACCTCCATACTCTATCCCCCGGGCCCACCAAAGAGAAGCCATAATAATATTAATTATTATTATTATAATTTAGAATTTCAATGGTAATAAAACAAGGGCAGTTATCAGGGGAAAAAATATTGCAACAAAAGGGGGCTCTGATTCTGAATGAATTTGACGATCCCAGCTTTGTTTAAGTTCTCAATTTGCAAAACAGACAAGTAGTGACAGCAAGGAAAATTAAAAGTTGAGACCTTTATCCAGCTAGATTAAGCAGAGACTATACGAACAAGACAAATCAATATCCTCACATAATCCTCATATAATTATATTTAACCAGAAATATCTCATCATTTCAAAGACAATATCCATAATAAAAGCAAATTAGTAACAATAATTAAACCGCCATAGTTGCAGAGAAAGATCAAACCTTGGATTTGGGGATGACCTTGACGGCAACATGCTGGCCCTTCCTATCGCCTTTCTTGAACCTGGCGGAGCAAGTATACCCAAAATGCCCTCGGCCGACCTCGTCCCCAACCTCCAACCTGCTCGTGAACTCCTTCGAGAACCCGAACCTCTTATCCAGGTCCACGCCGTTCTCCTCCTCGTCGCCTTCCTCGGGAATCGCCGACTCCGCCGCCGCAGCCTTCTTGCCGTGGCGGCGCGCCAGCACGGCGCGGATGTGCTTTGCCGGCGACGGCGGCGGGAAGGGACGGCGGAAGAAGCGGCGCGGCGTGGAGCTGGCGCTCCGGCTGCGGCTCCGCGCCGGGGAGCCCTTGAGGTAGTGGGCGGGGCTGGGGCTGTAGAAGGGGAAGAACGGCGACTGCTTGGCGGTGTTGTTGGAAACGACGTCGTTGTCGTGGTGGTGAGGAGTGGTAGCCGGGAGGGATTTGGGTGTGTGGGAAGGGTCGTTGGGGTCCCTGGAGGCGTAAGGGTTTGGTCTTGAGGGCTTCGAAGTGCAGGTTCCCATGGCGGGTGAAGAATTGGAGGGATTGCGTTTGGTGCAATGCGAAATGGAGGTTTTTTGAGATCGGAGAGATATAGAGAGAGAAAATGGGAGAGAGAGAGTGATTGGGTGTTGATGCTTGTTGTTTGTTGTTGTTCTTCTGGTTCACTGTTTAAGAGAGAGAGAGAGAGGAGAGAGGGAGTTTGGAGTTGGACGGTAATAATAAAAGGGTGGGAAAAGGAGTTAAAATGCAAAAATGAGATACGGAGGAGAGAGACAGAGAGAGAGTGAAAGAGAGTGAGTGGAAAAGAAGGTATGGAATGGGGAACAGGGAAAGTAAGTGAGCTGTATGTTCTCACTGCCCACGTGTGATGCACGTGAGCCTTTGAGTTTTTATTTTCATTTTTGGATGATTTTTCCCCTTTTTTTTTTTTTTTTTTTTTTTTTTTTTGTTTTTTTTTCCCTTTTTTTTTTTTTTTTTTTTTTTTTTTTGGTGAATTTGGGGATTAGGATTGGGCTTTATGCTTGTGAGTGGCAGGCATTGGCTATGATAATACATAATTAGTATTATATATTTTTTAAGGAAATTGCTATTATATTTTTTTAAGGGATTCGGATTGAGTGAGAAATGACCTTTTTTTTTACTAATCAGAGTGAAAAATGAAATCCATCACTTTCAACAGTGCTCATATGCGCGTCAAGTGATTAGAATTGTTAAAAAAAATATATCATTTTAACATTTTCAATTAAACCTTAATTGTAACGATTTTAAATTGAAAGGGTTAATATACAGAAAAAGAAAAAAGAATAGTGACTAAATTACCAAATTCAAAAAAATTGAATAAGTTTACGTACAAAAAAGTCTTTTTAAAAATATTCACATCTTACGTGTATTTACGTACAAAACTAAAAATGCTAGTTACGTAGTCTCATACTTTGTAAAAAATGAAAAAAAAAAAAAAATTTGAAAAATCTTTACTTCCCGCATTATGGTATTAAATATAACTTCACAGTAATTTTGTATTTGACTCCACCACAAAATGTATTGGAGTTGGAATTCTCTTCATCCAACGTTAAAAAGGTATATGTATATTTTGATTCCTCATTAAAAAGAATTGATATCAAAATTACTACTTATGTACCTTAATAAATTTACACACTATAAACCAATAATTATTTTATTATGTATAAAGATAATTTAGCAATTACATTATTTAGAGTTATTTTAAAGTTTAGTAAATATTAGAAAAGAGAATTTGATATTTCTTGAGTCATTTAATAAATAAGTAAACACTAAAAAATTACTTAACCAATTGTTATTTTTATTTATTTTTCTTTTTAATCTCATTACATTCCTTTACGTTGTAATATCCTATATATATATATATTTTTTTTTTTGAAAGGGCCCTATATTCTTTGGAGTTTTTACACTATAGAGTAAACACATGTTTTTAAATGTTACTCATAGTCAAAATCACATCAAATAAAAATTTATACACAATGAAAAAGTTACACTAAGATATTTTTTCATATCTTACGGGCTACCAACGTAGAATTTTCCACAGATTTTTTTTTTTTTCAATGGACAGGGGAAACAGTTTGAAAAGTAACAAAAGAAAATCTTAGGTAGTCCATTGAGTTTAATTTTAGTTAATGGAGCTTTCTATATTGTTGGTTGTAACGCAAGTTTTTGAACATTAAGATTGATCAAAATTACATTAAAATGAAGAAAAAAAAAACGTACAAAAGAAGCATATAGGAATATGACGGTTTTGAAACAAAACCCAGTGGAGTATTTTTCTTTTTTCTTTTCATAAAAACATCATTAATTTTATTTCCTTCATATCCAAAGTATCAAACTCTACGGTCCTTGTAAAGCATGAATTTCTAGCTATCGACGTGTATTCTTGAGAACTATTAGCTTAATTCCCTTGAAAAAAAAAAAGAGAGAGAAACGAAAGACAACTATCAGCTTATTTTTCCTTTTTCAAAAACAAAAGGAAAAAAAAAACATGGTTTTCTTAACCACCTAAGGAGAATTCTTCACCGAGAGTTATCATCCTTGCTACAAGTTTACCATAAAAATATTGTTCTAATATATTTGTTTTTATCCGAAAACCTCTTTTTTATTTATAATAATATCTGGAAACCCATTTTGTACGTAACTATATACATTAATTTAACCCTTAGCCAAAAAAATAATAATAATAATAATTTAACCGCCCGCGAATGAGACCAGACCTAAGAATACTTTAATAATCGAGTTACTGAGCAGAAAATACAAACATAAGAGTACAAATATACTTATGAAGTCACAATATTGTTAATTCGTTTTGAAAAGGATATCATTAAAAAAAAAAAATCAATGTAAAGTTGATCGTAGACGTTTTGGGCCATTTTGAAAAAAAAAATTTCTTGAGGGGAAATTACTTGAAATGATCACATGAACTAAAAACATTTTTGCTCGAAAAAAATGAAGTATGAAAATAAAAAATTCATTATAAAAACATGCGTGTGTGACCATCTGATTTGAACTAGGAATATTACTTATAATTTTAATGTTTATTTTCCATAATATAGGAACTAATTTTAATGTATAATGTAAGCATTTGCATTCTTTTTTAAAACACACTTCATCATTTGGATGTTATACCATAAATAGGATTACTTTAAATCTAATACGTATAGTAGTTTGCTCTTCAATGAATTATTTAGTGCATGAGATTATATCTTTACTAAAAATTATTAATAATAAAAAAAATGAAACACAGAAAAGCCTGACCAACCATATCACATCTTGATCTCTAGAAGTTACATATACATACATATATAATGGATCTAACGATCATCTAATTAAGCGTCCATAAATAAAAAAATAAAATACGAAAGCATTGTTGTTCAGCCAAACAAAAAGCGTAAAAGAAAATGATGTATCGCATGCACATGCTTCTCAAATAATCACTATTTTTTTTTCTTTTCCAAATTATGGTAATCACTAGTATTTCATTTTGCCCACTAATCACAAAATTTTTCTCATATGCAAGTTTGGACTCCAAACTTTCAATTTTGATATTGATATAAAGACACTAAGGCTCCGTTCACTTCGCTGATTTGAGTTTAGAATTTAAATTTTTCTACAATAAAAAGTTTTCACAAACAATCACATCTAATTTTTTTGCTACAATAAAAAACTCTCACATAAAATTACATCTCAACTCGAATTCTAAACTCGAATCAGCGAAGTGAACGGAGCCTAAATTCACAATTCTTGACAAATGTAGTCAAACTAATAACGAACGTCAATTAAGAAACGATAATTAGTGAACTGCCAAATATCAAAATTAACAAAAAAAGAAAATCGTATGGCCGTATTCCATCCATTAATTGAAACAAAATTTCAAATTTAGAATATAATTGTCAAATTAAAAAAAAGTACATTAGATAGCCAAATATCCATGAGTTCAAGGCACAATAATGAAAAAAATAAATAAATAAATCATCTTTTTTGTGCGCTGAAAGAAAATGTTAAACATTGTGTCAGTCATGATTATCAGTGTGGAATTTTCTGTAGCTAAAGGCTATGAATTTTTAATGTGAATATATGTCATAACTAAGATCTTGATTGTTGTTATAATTAGGCTCGATTATATTACAATGGTAAAAGATACGTATCTCTTTTTGTGTTTTTTATAGCCAAAATCTCGTGGATCTATCCGATCTAAAGCAATTAGCATTGTTATAAAATATGGACTATTAACATTGGTACTGCAAGTGCGATTTTCTATAACGGAAATATATATATATATATATATATATTTTTTCCTTTTTTTGTGTGAAGGTTTTCCATTTTTTGATTACGTACGTGAAAAATAGTAATTTAAAAGCACCAGGAACGACACGAGATGCATGGTCAACTTAATCTAATTAATTATTCAATCCCGAGATACTAATTAAATATCTAATTAGTATTTAATCATAATTGATTCGGCTCTCACACGGGCAAAGATTTTAGTCTTGTATTTGCTAAACGAAGAAAAGAGATGACCTTTCTCTTATTATATTTTAATTTTTAATATTGGGAAAGGTTATAAAACTAGGGTTCTTTGAAGATTATAATTTCTCTTATAATTTATTCTTTATTCTTTTCTCTCCTACCAAACAATTGTAAGTTCTAAATTAAAATTCTTCCTCTTCCCCACGCCTACCAAATTACAACCATACTTAGTTCTAAAAATACTCAACCGATCTCTTCACCCCTCTCCTTTCTTCTATTTCTCACTCTTACAAAATTACAAGCTCTTAACGTTACACAAAGGTATGCATTAATGGCCTAGTCTTCACTTAAATAAAACTTTTCATACACTTAACTTTGACAAAAAAAGAAGCTGTCTATAGTTTACTTGTTAAAAAATAAATAAATTAGGAATCGAAATTTTCCGTTAAAATAGGAATCACTTTAAAATTTACAATACATTAATATCCTTAACAAAACCAGTTTTATTCAAAAATATAAATATTTATGTTGTATAATCATTTTTTCAGGTCATTTTTATGGTTAAAAAATGAATGATAAATATTCCATATATCTAAGTTCTCTCTCTGACACAAATTACTCCTATGAGTAAAAATTAGTTTTAAAAAAGTTCCATAAAAATTAGACTACAAAAAATTAAAAAAAAAAAAAAACACACATTTGAAAGATAAAAAGAATAAAAATAAAAATAAATAAAGAAGAAACCGCCACATGACAACTTGAAAAGCACTATTACAAGATTTTTTTTCTCTTTTATATATTGTTAAATATAAATATATACTGAGATTTATACGAGCTTCATCTTTCAGCAAAATAATTCTAGTAATGTATCCTAAAAAAATCTCATGACGATGCATGCATTATCATCTGTTATTTATCTTTTAAAAAAAAAATAGAAATTGCATTCCAAATCAAGAAAATACAATCATTAATACCACACCGCATCGCATTTAGTCAACCATAGACCACAACGCAATTTATTTTTTTTTTTATCTATATCTACTATAAAAGTTATCGGTTGTTCAGTTAAAATTCTCATTAATTTTCCATCAAAAGAAGTAAATTCCCATTAATTAAAAAAGGCTCATTCATAACTAAATGCACATAATGTCAAG